GAAAATACCAATTAAGTCTAACTGGTCTATTATATCATTTAGGATCTCTGTTGCCTTATTGATTTTCTGTCTGGATGATCTGTCCATTGATATCAGTGGGGTGTTAAAGTCTTCTACAATTATTGTATTCCCATCAATTTCTCCCTTTATGTCTGTTAGTATTTGTTTTATGTATTTAGGTGCTCCTATATTGGGTGCATATATGTTAATGGGTGTTATGTCCTCTTCTTGTATTGATCCTTTTATCATTATATAGTGTCCTTCTTTATCTTTCTTTATGGCCTTTATTTTACAGTCTATTTCGTCTGAATATTGCTATCTACCCCTGCTTTCTTGTCATTTCAGTTTGCATGAAATATCTTTTTCCATCCCCTCACTTTCAATCTGTGTGCGTACTTCACCCTAAAGTGGGTCTCTTGTAGGCAGCATATTGTAGGCTCTTGTTTTATTATCCAACCTGCCACTCTATGTCTTTTGACTGGTGCATTTAGTCCATTGACATTTAAGGTAATTATTGATAGATATGCATTTACTGCCATTTTAAACCTTGTTTTCCAGTAGATTTTCAATTTCTTCTTTGTTCCTTTCTTTCTCTTTTTGCTTTTCCTTTGGTGGTTTGATGGTTTTCTTTTGTGTTATGCTTGAGTTCTTTTGTTTTTGTTTTTTGTGAATCTATTATATGCTTTTTGATTTGTGGTTACCCTGTTTTTCAAGTATGTTAACCCATTAGTATATCTACTTGCTTTAGACTGGTAGTCATATAGGCTCAAACACATTCTTAAAAAAAAACCCTAAATTTTCTTACTCCTCTCTGCCACATTTTATTTTGATGTCCTCTTTTTCATATTCATGTTTATGCTTTTGCTGTTCATTGTAGTTATCATTGCTTTCACAAAGAAACTGTTTTTCTGTGTAATGCCTGATTTGATTGTGATTTTCTCTTTCCTATAGATTCTTGTTTCTTTTCTATTTAGAGAAGACCATTCAATATTTCTTTTAGGATAGGTTTAATATTGCTGTATTCTTTTAGTTTTTGCTTATCTGAAAAATTCATTATCTCTCCTTCTATTCTAAATGATAATTTTTCTGGGTAGAGTATCCTAGGTTGCAGGTTTTTCCCTTTCAGGACTTGGAATATGTCTTGCCACTCCCTTCTGGCCTGCAATGTTTCTGTAGAGAAATCAGCCTTATGGGGCCTCCCTTGTAACTAACTCTTTGTTTTTATCTTGCTGTTTTTAGAATCCGCTCTTTATCTTTGAGGTTTGCCATTTTAATTATATAATATGTCTTGACATAGTTCTGTTTGGGCTCATCCCGTTTGGGACCCTCTGTGCTTCCTGTACCTGGATATGTTTCTTTCTTTAGGTTTGGGAAGTTTTCAGCCAAAATTTCCTCAAATACATTTTCAATCTCTTTTTCTTTTTTTTTTTTTTTTTTTTTTTTGCTGTTTAGCTTTCTGTGTGCTGTTCTGGTTGGGTGATTTCCATTATTCTGTCTTCCAGATAACTTATTCATTCTTCTGCATTACTTAGTTTGCTATTTACTGCCTTTACCTTGGCTTTCATCTCAGCAAGTGAGTTTTCTAATTTTAATTGGCTCCTCTTTTATAGTTTCTAGTTCCTTGTTACAGTGATCTGCATTTCTATCAATAGGCTTTCTTAATTCCTTCAGTGTTTGTTGTTGCTTTGTTTTGTTTATTTTGGCTGCACCATGAGGCTTGCAGGATCTCAGTTCCCCAACCAGGGACTGAACCCAGGCCGTGGCAGTGAAAGTGCTGAATCCTAACTGCTAGACCACCAGGGAACTCCCCCTTCAGTGCTGTTATTACCTCCTCTTTGAACTTGGGATCTAATAGACTGGAGAGGTCCGTTTCATTGTTTGTCCTTTCAGGGACTTTCTCTTGTTCTTTTCATTGGGAGTAGTTCCTCTGATTCTTCATTCTACTTACACTTCTCTGACTCTGAATTTAGGAGTGGTCATGAAGGGCTGTTTTTATGTGGGAGTATTCCTGTGTAGCCTACATGAGTCTAATAGTTTTGGTGCGAGGGCTGTTTTTAGTATGGATGCCTGCCACATTTTTCCTCAGTGTGTGCTGGCTGTTATCCCCTTGATAGGGGGTGTGATTGGACTTGTGGTGACCAGTGCCTTTACTGGATGTTGAGCAGGGCCTCCTCTTTGCTCTGTGGCTGTCATAGCCCTGTCAGGGTCAAGGTCTGCTCTTCAGTTGTTGGAAGTAGAAGTCCCCAGATCCATTTCTGAGCTGTGGTGTGGGGTAGGTGGGGTTGAAGTATCTCTGCTGGGAGAGGCACTGAGTATTCCTCTGTGGGAGCTGTCCACAAGGTAGTGTGCTCTGGTGTCGTGTGTCACTTGTTGTGTGCTCACAAAGTACACTGTTGTTGGCACTGCCCTCTGCCCCACCTCAGCCATGGGATTGCAGGCAATCAACCCGTATGTCCCTCAGGTACTGTGTTCATAGGCACCAGGACCCACAGTACTCACATATAGTCGTGCCGCTGAACCCACTGTGGGGACTAGGGAATCAGCGCAGACCCTGGCCCTGCCTTCGCATGTGCATGCCTGCAAAGCCCACAGCTGCTAACTCCAGACCTGCCCCAGCCATGGGAGCACCAGTAATCCTCACAGATGTCCCACAGGTGCTGAGCTTACAAAGGTGCTGGCAGCATACATCCACCAAAGTTGCAAAGCCTCTGGACAAGGCTCAGATTTCAGCCCGGCTTCTGAAGTCAAGCAGCCCCTGGAGATTGGCTCAGATTTCAGCTCTGCCTCTGCATGTGGGCAACTGCAGCTTGGTGCTCCCAGAGCTCATGGAGGTGGAGCTGCGCCTGCTGTGAGGTCACTGGAGAATGAGGCTGCTAGTGTAGGGCCCTGCCCTTCCCTTTGCATGCATTAACAACGGGGCTTCTATGGCGGACCTAGGCTTCATCCCGTGCACACCCCCATTTGCGGCCCAGGCCACACTCCAGCCCCTTTGGGCTGTCTCCATGCAGCCAACCCCAGTCCCCTCCCCAGGTCTGTCCGCTGAAGCCCGAGTTTCAGCACCCAGTCACTGTGCACACCAACAGATGCGCATCTCAGGCTGGAGTGTTCAGCAAGGTGGCCAGGACCATCCGTGCTGTTCTCTTTCTGCTCTGCCTGCTGCAAGCCTATTGCTGCACTCTGAGCCTCTGAATCTCCCTTTCTGTCCCGGCTGATCTCCCAGCTGGTGAAGGGGGTTCCCAGGGTGAGGGAACCTTTTCTCTTTCACAGCGCCCTCCCAGGGTTACAGGTCCCATCCCGATTCCTTTTTATATTTTCTTTCATCCTACCCAGTTACGTGGTGATCTTTCTTGGTTGTATGAGATCTGCCAGTGTCCAGTAGGTATTCTGTGAGAATTGCCCACATGTAAATGTATTTTTGATGTATTTGTGGGAGGAGGTGAGATCCACATCCTTCTATTCTGCCATCTTGATCTCTCTCCCCAGAAACTTGTTTTAAAACTGTTCAGTTGATCTGCAACAACTCACTTCAATAAACACACTTTTGTAAGTCAGCCAGTGTTGGCTCCTCACTTTTGAAAGTCAAGCAGTCACAGACAGACTCATGTAAATAAATATACCACTGAGTGCCAACCAGTCAACAGTCTCACCTGAGTAACCATGCTTCCCCAAAACACTTTATAAATAAGATGAACATTCTGCTTTGCATAGAGAAACTGCACCTGACCAGATAGCTCTCCCTTGTAGTAAGCAATCAATTCATTTTTGTCCTTTTATTCCAGCTACTGAGTGGTGGTCTCATCATCCTTTGACATTTTCACTGTATAAATTATTTTTTTTAACCTTTGGAACATTCAGTGATATGAATATATTACCTATTCAATAAAAAAATAAAATTTAAATAAAAAGATCTTTGTCTCAGAAATCCTTCTTGCCTAAGACTTCAGAAGTCAACGACATCAGCAAATGTTATAAAATGTCTTAATTTGCTCTTAACTAATTCCTTTGTTAAGTGAAAGCATGTGTAGCAGACACAATATTATTCACAGATTAGATGCTGATTTTGCACCATGCTTAAAAATGTGAGATTCACTAAATGTTAGGTTAAAGTAGGATGTAAAAAGTTACTGGAACTATTCACCTCTTATTAATAGAAATGGCAAAAAAAATTACAGAGAACTTCTCAGAAAACAAATTTATGAGGAATGTTAAATGATGTCAAAACTAGGAACTAAACCAAAGACTCAATACACCCAAAACTTAAAATTTGTTGGTGGTAGTGTTACCCTCTGAGGTTGATTTATTTATAGAAAGGACAGATACTATTTTTAATTTATAAACAAATGTATTGTTATCTAATTGTGTGGTCTAAAACTATTAAATCTTTATTCTAAACTTTATTAAAGGACACAAAAAGATACAATTTAAGAAATAGGCCTAATTTTTATTATTCCTCTGGTTTATTGTAAGTCTTATTCAACTTTTATACCTTATCATGTTAATAAATAATAATAATGATAGCTAATACATACACAGTGCTTTCTATGAGCCAAGTGCTGTTCCAAGTGTTTTACAAATATTAACCCAAGGAGTACCTCTGTAAAAAGATCAGAATTCCAGTTCTCATCCAGACATATTCTCCTTATTATATGAGAGCCTTTATTCTATTAGGACAAAGAGTCTCTGAATAGAAATGAAATTTTAGCAACTCAAATAGCCATTGCCAATTAAGAAATATAATTTTTTCTATTACCAATCTTTTTCCTGCACATCATATGCTCAAACTCCTGTTGTTCCTGAATTACTTAAATGTTGGCAGTAACTAAATTTCAGGTAAGAACTTGTATAAACTAGCAGAAACATACTGTTGTACCCAGGATTCATTCATGTATTGAAGTTCAAGGATTTTAGAGCCCAATTCAAAAGTCCTGTGTCAGGAAAATGCTCATGGGGTAAAATATTATGTACATTAAACCCACTGAAAAACTTCAAGATTGTTTTACCTCTGTCAGTTCCAGAGCTTTATTGTAGCCCATTGAGTGCAGAGTTACCCAAAGGTCACAAGGATCTCCTTCTCCATCACTGGCTTCCATTAGATTCAGATTCATAAAGCCCTGTCTTGTTAGTTCATTCTTCTTTGTATCGAAGTTCTCTGTCAAAACAACCAGAAGTTTCTTTCTTACATAATTTAAAAATTCATACACTTACTAAAATGTCTACTATATATTAGTATTCACAAATGTTTATTTTAAAAGAGGCCTTAGGAATCTGTGAGCACTACAAAAGTGAAATAAGAATGACTCAAAACATGTTTGAGACATACTGTTCTAATTTTCCACAAAAAGCACTGTCACAGTGCATGATTTAGTTTTTCAACAAGAGCTGAAGTCAAAAATAGTACAAATATATTCCAAAATCAGAGGAAACTTTAATTTTTCTGGGTAAATTCCAACCTGCCTGCTTATCTAAAGTATATACTGACATATATTTCAAAAATTAGTATATGTGCTGCCAAATCCAGGGCTGTATTTCAAAAATTAAAATGCTTCTTATATACTTGCCACTTAAACCCAAATGAATTTGATGTAATACCCCCCAAACTACTGGTGTTTCAAAAGGGAAATGTGGATGGTGCCAGGTTTAAGGAGACTGCTATATTCTTAACTGCTTTAATTTTAACTGAATTGTCCACTGGTCCCTAAAAAACTGTTAGATAATGGGGAACACTTTGGAGTCCACGAATCTCCCAGACAAATTTAAGTACCCATTTTAACATTGTTTATAAGCATAAATTCATGAAGAAATATCTAGATATATATAATTCCTGAATGTTTCTATAATATAGACAATAAACAGCTACTCATTTTAGATTACATTCTGTTAATTGTCCTACAACAAAGAAAGATCTTATTTTCCAACTCCCATCTGTAATATACCCAAGGAAAATGGGTACTCTTATTTGAGATATCTCTTTTGTACACATTACTGTGAGAAAAGAGGCAGAGACATAACTGCTTAAAACTGGTTGACTGATTAATAGTTTAAATGTTTAGAGTTTGGAAAGTGACTCATAACTTTTGTAAGGAAAAAAAGTAAATGTAGATTAAATTAGATCATAGAAAGACATGGTAGCCACTAAAATGGAAGCTGGAGCTACTAAGTAGAAAAGCAAGATAAAAAAATTAATATTTGATATATAATACAAAGAAATTATTACTTTCAAGAAAAATGTACCTAGATACTATGCTATAGAGACTATCAATAATCTACTTTTAAAACTTAAAATGATCAATTCTCCATTAAGTTTTTAAAGTTTATTAATACCCAACTTCAAGACTTACATTAAAGCTACAGTAATCAAGACAGTGTGGTACTGGTGACAGATGAGACAAACAGATCAGTGGAATAGAGAACTCAGAAAATACTCATACAAATATATTCAACTGATATATGACAAGGGAACAAAGAGAATCAAAATATTATATCATTAAAGTTACAGGATGATCACATCCTCCTAAAAAGAATACTCTATTATGTGTGTTATCAATCTTGTTAATTGAAGTTTACTATTATAAATCAATATACATTTCTTGTTACTGATTACAGTATATAAACTGTCAGTTAAAAAGAGATGTATTTTTAAAAACCTTTATATTAATAATATTTCTACCTTACTTGCTGTTTAGATAAACAGACTTATCAGACTCCTCTCTGGCTCACTGACTGCTAAGCTTAGACCATTTCAAGAACCAGAGGATTAGGACACATTACTACCCCAGTGACAGCAACATGTGAGTTAATCTCTCTCCTGACTGCATTCTAGCCTCCTCAACTTCTTGTTCTGTGATCTATAGTTGGCTGTGGCTTTCTGGCTTTCCCCTTTGACCTTTTAGTCCTTGGCTTAAATATACAAGCTCTAGCCTCTTCCCAGACTCCTCGCAAGTGACAACTGACTTCGCCTCGCTCTCAGTATTTTTCTTTGCCTATCTTACCATTTTTGGCTTTTATACGTCCATCGATGGACTTTCTTAATTCAACTCAAATACAAAAAACAGAAGAATTCTTAAGATATATAAATGACTTCCTGGAAACCTCTTAATTTTTAGTAAAACTCTAGCCTATTAGCTCTTTGCTGCCCTCTCCTGGGCGCAGTTTGGGTCTCTCAACCACTTCAGTTCCTTTGCTATCAGAGGTAAGACAAACTTTTTTACATTCTAAGCTCCAAAGAACATAGAAATTATGATTAATTAATTCACATTTTCTTTTAACTTGAGTACTACACCAACTACCAATTTAAGGAAAATAAATGTTTAATTTTTTATGGTCTACAAACAATGCTACTACTTTTAAACTGTCCCAATTGCTATAATATTCCATGGAGAAATTTGACATTTCACTTCTTAAGGATGAAAGGGTGTGTGTATGTATATATATATATGTTTTACATAACCATTAAGAAAAAGAAAAGTGCTTACCTCTGCAGACAGCCCAAGCATCTTCATCACATTTCTCACCACTTGTTCTCAGTTCAAAAAAATTATATTCTTCAAGGCTGAGAAGACCATTTCCATCTAAATCAATCACTTCAAATATATCTGATAAAGTTGACCTAAAATTACAAAAAATAGCAAATTATTTGTCTCTAAGGCAACTAGACTGAAAAAGGTTTCTATGAGGATAACTTTCAAAAGGAAGTAATATAAAGGCATTAAACAATATTTGTAATGATCTTATCTACGAAACAGAAACAGATTCACAGACACAGAGAACAGACTTATGGTTGTCAAGGGGGAGGGAGAGTGGGGGAGGGTTGGATTGGGAGTTTGGGACTAGCAGATGCAAACTATTATATATAGAATGGATAAACAACAAGGTCCTATTGTATAGCACAGGGAACTATATTCAATATCCTATAATAAACCATAATGCAAAAGAATAAAATAAAAAACAATATTTGTGAATGATAAAATTAATGTATCCAAATATATATGTTACTCAGTCTAGTATTACATGACATAAACAAGTTTCCAAAGCAACCCCAGCATGTCAACATGTAGTAGGAACTCAAAGAGAAGTTCCCTTCTTCTTTTCTCCTTTGTCCATCTACTTTCTTCTTCCTCTCTACCTGCAGCCAGATCTTACTGTGTACATGTATGGTATGGGAGAACTACCCTATTTGGATTTCACATTTGATAGCTATCTAAGTCAATAGTGCAACTAGCAGGACCTATTTCTAGTGGATGAGAAATCAGTAGATACACAACTAAAGTTGACTTGCCAAATGTATGGAACCCAGAAATGAATGGCAATCCCAGACCTATGAGTAGAAGGTCACTTTCAGATGCCTAGTGTATGAGTTGAGCTATTGATTAGAATGTGGGGTTGGGATTTGCAGCTAGCCAAAGGAAAGGATGGAAGACAGGCTACTGATATATATCCAGTCTAGATGTTATAGCTCTTAACTTTAATAAACAAAACTTACCTAAATTCCTTTGTGAGAAATAATTCCCCTGTTTCATCTCTATATACAAGTTGGGCTTCTTCTGTTATTGGTTTTCTTTCTTTCTTTAGCCTGCAGCCAGTTGTGGAAGGAATTAACCAGTAAATTCCAGGTCCTAGTTCACCAGTCCACCCAAACATCTTTTCCAAAAGAATTTTAAAAACAAACAAACAAACAACCACCATGAGTCTTAATGACTTTTAATCTTTCTTATGAAAGGGAAGCATTAGAAACAGTTTCTTTTTATACCAATATTCACCAATTCTATTATGGTTCTATCAATGTTTTATAGGCTTCAAAATCTTTTTGTTAATGGTAAGGCTAATAATATTAGATGTAGTACTTTATATATTTTAAAAACAAATGCCTAAAGCTGTAACAGGTTAGAAGTTATATAACTTCTAAATCTTCCCAATAATCTTCAAAGATGTTTTTTATGCAAATATTTCAACAGGAAGCAAAGAGAAAAATCTTAGAGGAATTTTTCTGGGTTATAGTTGCCTAATTTGATTCAAATATAAACATATGATTTGTAATTCAGATTGCTATGACACAACATAAAAATTAAATATATTTTAAAAGAGTTCACTATTTGTATGAATTAGCCATATTTGTAAAAATACAATTATGTGGACAAAAGCACTGGAATTTTACTACTATTTATGTAATATGGACTATAAAACAAGAAGGCAGAGTCCCAGATAAACCTACCTTATACAAAATTCTTTTCCATCACAGGATATTTATAATGAGTGCCAAGACATTTGTATAGGAAAGCATTTTATTCTCCTGTTCTATAAGAAAAAGCAAAATGGCACCCCTCTATGAACCTTCTAGGTGCTTTCTGGAGCCCAATGGCTTCCTATAAAACCTAGGGATTGTCTCTGTCAAATATATTAAACCTAAGCATTTCCTAGTCGTGTATAATATCTAAGCAAGTAGCCATTTGCCCTTCAGCACAGAATAACCTAGGGAATTCTGTCTGGTATTGTGTCTAAAACTCCTTTCCAATTCCAGGTTTATTTTAGGTCATCCTGGGGACTCATATACAAAACAAAGTTGCTCAATCAAATTCTGGGTTCGGCCCTATTTCTACCCTCACAAGTCAGAGGAACCATAATCATCCTAAAGTGACCATGTCCTATTTTGATAAAAGAAGCAATCCAATAAAAGTGAGGGCCATTTTGAAAACTAAAGATTGACCAAACCCATCTTTTGGAAATCATAATCTTTTAGATTGGCCAGATGTTGACTGATATCCAGGAATGAAAAGCAGTTCTTGCTGTTTCCTAATATATGTTATCCCTTGAACCTCCCTTATCTCTACATATAAACTTGAACTGCCACAGTGGTTGGCAAATGGAAAGTCTTTCACGGGCACAAAACTCTTCTTAAAGAAAATAATTGTGAAACTAAAACTAAAAGTCCTTTGTAAATATGACATATTAAAGATAAACAGAGGCCTATAGGAAAGAGGTAAATAGAAACTCATTCAAATTTTATTATAGGCTTGCTATGTACTAAATTTTTATACATGTAATCTCATAAGAAAGTAATTTTAAGCAAAACAAAGTGGGAAAGCTATTGTTTTAGACAATGTTTTATCTTGAATTTAACTTTGTAGTCAGTTTTGAAGAAGAGTTTAATCAAAACATTAACTGCTGTCATTTTATTTGTTTCTTGCCTATAACTATTCTTGTCTGTTGGAAGCCAACAATAAAGACTTTTATATAACATTCCATCAGGGAAATGTTTGTCTGTCGTTGGGCCTATATAAAGATTAAATATGATATTGCAGTAAGCCCTTGAATAGTATTATTCCTGTTATTGTGTAGCAGATATATTTTGTAGTCCTCATAAAACAAATAGCCACATTTATGTATCTGCCTCACATATTTGGCCTCTGAGTAAATATATAATTAGAAAAGATCAGAACAACCCCATGGGCAACATATAAAATCATTTGAAAGCATTTCTTCAGATCAATCTATTTTTGGACCCTATGAGTCAAGCCTGAGGATAGTAATCTTGAAGTTTTTCTTTTTTGCAATAGTAGTATAAGTAAGACAAACATCTAGAGGAACTTTTTCAAAGCCTTGAATTGCTTGTATTTAGGGGAAAAAAATCCACTGGCATCGATCATTTTTATTGAGTATAACAAAAAAATATTCACATGTGGGGTATCAGGGCATTAGAAAAGAGGAAAGTGAAGTACAATGTCACACTTATAAGTTATGAAGCCAAAATGGCCAATCAATCCTCAATTTTTAAATCTCAGCAAATAAGAAAAAGTCCTTCACAATTAATAAAACATATGTAATATGAATAGTGATTACTGTATATACCTTAATTGGAAGGGAAGATAAAAAGTTTTAAAATATATAGAAAAATGATTATTTTCCTCAAACTTGAGGTCATACTATATTTTTAACTAAACATTAGAAAATAAATATGTATACCTCTCTATTTCGTAGTTCAGTAAAACACATGAGCTGTAGATTTGCTTGACTCTCATTTTCCTTAAGAATATACAAGGCAGTATCAACTGATAACCAAGGGGATGGTTTTCCTATAAACAAAAAAACCCAAACATCTTAAAATAAGCAATCACTACTTACTCTTTCCTATTTAAAAAAGTAGTGGTTTCTTTCCCATTCGGATTTCTTTTTTAGAAATACACATCCATTTTTATAAACATCATAGCATTTGCAATAAGGCATATACCTATACACAATGAAATTGTTAGAAACATTCTCTATATACACACTTTCTAAAAATCATAACTTTTCTTAAACTCATCAGAAAGCTAAGGTTGCAAGGCAACCATGTAGGCTGAAATCCAAGGACAAACAAACCCTTTCAAGAAGAGAGAAGATGCAAGCACTGGCTTACCTGTAAAGGAGCATAGGAGGAAGAGATGTTAGACATCATCTATATGCTGTTAACTCCAAAATTTGTATCTCCTGCTAGGACCTTTCCTCTGAACATTAGACCCATATACCCAACTGCCTATTTGACATTTCCACTTGGATTTCTATGTCTAAAACTGGCTTTCCCAAACATCTGAAAAAAAAAAACTGTCCATCTATACTCTTTTCTATCTCAGATAAGAGTAACTCATTCCTTCCAGTTGCTAAAACCCCAAATCCTGGAATCATCTTTAACTTTTCCCTTCTCTCACGTATCATAACGAAGCCTCAGGAGATGCTATGGTTTGACCTTCAAAATATATCCAGAATCTCTACTTCTTATACCCTCTACACCCCAGTTCAAAGCAACACCAGTCCCCTCTTAGAATTCTGCAATAGAGTCCTAGCTGGACCCCTTGCTTTCTGTACCTTCAATCAGCTTTCAATACAGCAACCTGACTGCTCTTGTTAAAATATGTCAGATTATGTTCCATCTCTATTTAAAAATCCTCTAATGCAGTTGAAAGTTGGAAGAATGTTGCTTCCACCCTAACAATGAGAAAAAATGCATGAAATACAAAATTATAACATTTCTTGAACCTGTCAGAGCTGAGGTCACAGGACAACCAAGCAGCCTGAAATCCAAGGAAAGACAGACCCCTCCAAGGAGAGATGAGATGCAAGCACTGGCTTATTGGTGGTGGTGCACAGGAGAACGAGATGTCAGGTGTATAAGTGGAAGAAAAGAGAGAGCAGAAGAGATAAAGATGGAAAATTATCTAAAAGTAATGAGACAACAAGCCATAAATCTAAGAAACTCAGAGAGCCGTTAGCAGGATAAATACCAAAAAGATAAACACAAATGAACAACCAACCAAAAAACAAAAAACCTCCCCAAAACTCAAAAACAGCATCAACAACAACAAAAAAACCCCCCAAAACACCAAGGCACATATTCAAACTACTGAAAATCAAAGATGAAGAGAAAATCTTGATGGCAGCCTCCTAAGGGTTCCTCTTTTCTCTCAGACTAAAAGTCCAAGTTCTCATTATGGCAAAAAACAAAACAAAACTCTACCTGATTTTTGTCCTTGTTTCTCCCTGTCTTCAGCCCCTACACTCTCTCCTTACTTACTTCAGTATACCAACTCTAGCCACCTTGTTGTTCTTCTAACACCAAGCACACTCTCACCTCAGAGCCTCTGAACAGAGGATTCTCTCTACCTGTCACTTCCTCCACTCTTCACCCATCCCCTTCCACCAGCCCTACATCCACAAAACTTACTCCTTTGCCTCCTGTGGAAGACAGCAAAAATGGCCATCCCTCTCTGTATCCACAACCCCTTGCAATGTAACTTTGTAGCTCTTCCATCAAGATATCAAATCTATTTCTCCACCTTGTAAATCTGTACTTGCCTTTTGACTTGCTGTGCACAACAGAATGTAACACAAGTAATGTGCTGGTTCTGAGCCCAGGCCTATGGTGCTTCTGCTTTCTCTCTTAGAGTCCTGTTATACCATAAGAACAAGTCCAGGCTAACTTACTAGAGGGTAAGAGACTATAAAAGGCTGAATCAAGTTGTCTCAGCTGAAACCCATACAAAGGCAAGGGCCCAGCCAAGATCAGTTAAAGCCAGCCACCAGCTAACCTGCAGCTGATCAAAGATGCATGAGTAAGCCCTATAGAGAAAAGCCAAGCCCAGCTCAGACCAAAAGAACTGCTCATAAGCAAACAAACGTTTAATTGTTTTAAGCCACTGAGTTTTGGGGTAGTTTGTTACACAGCAGTTGATAATTAATACACCTCTTTCAAAGTCTGCTCAAATGTCAACCTCTAATGAAGCATACACTAATACTCCCTTTCAATGGCAACTCATATTCCCTCGTATTCACAATGCCCCTTTTCCTCTACGTTTTTCCCATAGCACTTATCACCTTCTAACACACCATGTCATTTACTATTTATTATGGGGTTTTTTTTGTTTGTTTGTTTTGTTTTTTTGCGGTAGGCGGGCCTCTCACTGTTGTGGCCTCTCCCGTTGCAGAGCACAGGCTCCGGACACACAGGCTCAGCGGCCATGGCTCACGGGCCCAGCCGCTCCGCGGCATGTGGGATCTTCCCGGACCGGGGCACGAACCCATGTCCCCTGCATCGGCAGGCGGACTCTCAACCACTGTGCCACCAGGGAATCCCCTACTATTTATTATGTTTATTATTTATTGTTTATTTCCTCCACTAGAATGTAAGTTCATAAGGGCAGGGATTTTGTAATTTTTGTACTCTGATGTATCTGTATCTTAAGCACTTAAAATGATACTTGGTTTATAAGGTCTTCAATAAATATTTGATAAATAAATGAAAAAAATCTTCTTCATAAGAATACAGAGAATAAACAACTACATTGAATTTGCAGACCTATCTTGATACTTTTATCTGAAAAATGACTATTGTAATTGTCATTTAGAAGTATCAATTACCAGGGCTTCCCTGGTGGCGCAGTGGTTAAGAATCCACCTGCCAATGCAGGGGACATGGGTTCGAGCTCTGGTCTGGGAAGATCCCACATGCAGCAGAGCGATTAAGCCTGGGTGCCACAACTACTGAGTCTGTGCTCTAGAGCCCATGAGCCACAACTACTGAGCCCGTGTGCCATATCTTATCTACTGAAGCCCACGCACCTACAGCCCGTGCTCGGCAACAAGAGAAGCCACCGCAATGAGAAGTCCACGCACCTCAACGAAGAGTAGCTCCCGCTCGCCACAACTAGAGAAAGCCTGCGTGCAGCAACAAAGACCCAATGCAGCCAAAAATAAATAAATAAATTTATTAAAAAATTAAAATAAAAAAATTAAAAGTATCATTTACCAAATGTTGTAAGTGTCCTACAATATATACAGTGAAAACTTTCAGAATCTCTACTTTAGGAGGGAAAAGTAATGTAAGTGGGGAAGAATCCTCTAGTAAGTAGATGTTTATATGTAAACATAATAAAAGAAAAATAAAGATTGATACTTAGAACAATAACATTAAAAGGATATCTAGGGAAAGCACCCATATAGCCATTTTTCACTAATTAAAAATTATGTAATAACCACTGTAGACACTAGGAAATTATTAATTTTTATCTAGCATTGATGTATAGAAAAAGAATATTACCAGGGATATGAAAATTATTAATAAGGATTGTCTAAGTCATATGACATGGCACTTTGAAGGTATTCAAAAATACCTGCAGTTCATATTTGTCCCAAATTATGCTCCTATAGAAGTTGTCTCATGCATATTAGTTTAAAAAATTGATAAATGGAAAAAGCTAAAGACTTATTAGCAGATAAAAAGTTAATTCTATGTCAAAAGGAAACCAGGTAACATTTTGTTCTCATTTTTAAATAAATTAAAAGAAAAATACTTTAAACATGTCCAAACAATTTACTTTCTTCGCATAATATGACAACACAGTCAATGTACAAACGACTTTCTTTAAGTGTATTGCAATATGTAACCACATGTTTCTTAGGCAGATCATTTTCTTCACTAACTAGAACCATCAAATACTTACATAAGTATTTTCAAAGTGGGCATAAATTTATATTTTTAAAAAAATACAGAAAATTTAAACTTGCCTTCAGCTTGACTCAGGTTTAATGGCTTAATTGTTAGATAAACCAGGGATCTCTGAGCTATTTGCATCCTATATTGATGACTAATGATTTCACCATCTTCTTCTAAGAAAAAGCAACCTTTTGATTGTACACATTGCCACTCCTGAAATGAAGGAAAACTTTTTTCAAACAATATTTATTACAAGTTTCCAGCATGCAGAGCAATGAGAAAAAACCTAGGGAACATATAAAAGAAATGTCAACTAGAGCCAGTGCCCTCCAGGAATTTGCAACATCATTAAGAGGCAGCATTTAGATAACAAAAAGTTAGGAAAAGATATAATGGAGAGGAGAAATATGAAAAATACAGTTAATGAGAGCTGGAAAAGTACTGAAACAAAGTAATAAATGAACATGCTGCTGCAATAATCAGGGTGAGATTAGTGCTTAGAGCATACTAAAAATGAAGAAGTAAGGATTGCTAAAACTGATATGTTGAAAGAAAAAGTGAAAGGACTTTATATTTAAAAGATAAAGTATAATAAACCAGAATAATTGTTTCAAGTCTAGGTAACTAAAAGACTGAATTCATTTCACAGCTATAGCAAAATGCTGATAAATACCAGTTTTGAGAAAGACCTCTCTATAAAATTAGCTCTACTATCTCTTGGTCTCAAATTCCTTCTCCTAGTTCCAAACCAACATGCTTACATGTGATCTCATAACTAGAACTTCATAACAGGTTTTACTTGAAGATGGCACTTCCTGCAGAAAGTAAAGGATTCTTTGTTGAAGGTATGAGAAATTGTTCCATTACCATAGATGTGAGCAAAAATGCTTTCCACTTTACCATTAGTAGGCTTGCCTACCTATAAGACATATTTCTGTTCCACTCCTAATGGCTTCCAAAAATAGAATATTAATGAGGTTTTGAAGTGACTATATAAAGGATGATTTTGAAAAATTATCTGTTAGTATATTTAAATAATAAGCTCAAGGCTTTAATAATATTAAGATAACAACTGAAAAGGCATGCATTAGCTATGTAACAATAATATCAAAAATATTATTAATCCTGGGACTTCCCTGGTGGCACAGTAATTAAGACTCCACTCTCCTAATGCAGGGCACCTGGGTTCGATCCCTGGCCAGGGAACTGGATCCCACATGCATGCTGCAACTAAGAGTTCATGTGCCACAACTAAGGAGCCCACGTACCGCAACTAAGGAGCCAGTGAGCTGCAACTAATGAGCCAGTGAGCTGCAACTAAAAGGAGCCCACCTGCTGCAACTAAGACCTGGCACAACCAAATAAATAAATATTTTTTAAAAAAATATTATTAATCCATTTTAGAAGGATTTACTATGGCACTGAAGAGTCAAGAACAAACATTATTTACATTGATATTGATATCTTATTCACATTTTTAAAGGCTAAACTATCTTAACATATACTTACACACCACTTTTCTACTATGTAAATTATAATTACATTTATATTTTATATTATTTTACTGGTACCAAAATACATTTAAAATTAGAAATTTAAAAATAAGGAAAAAAAGTCCCCATAGTTCTACCACCCTAGTTTGATTCTTATGTAATCATTCCTAATACTGACTTTATATAAAAACCTATTTTTTTACATTCTAATTAATATTATTTTATGTCCTGCCTTTTTCATTTAACGTTATATCTGAAACATTGTGCTATTGAAAAGGAACAAAGTTGAAGAACTCACATTTCCTGATTTTGCTACAAAGCTACATTAATCAACACAGTGTGATACTGGCATAAAGACAAACATATAGACCAATGGAACAGAAAAGATAAACCAGAAATAAACTCTCACAAATATGGTCAAATGATTTTCAACAAGGGTGCCAAGGCAATTCAAATTTCAACAAACGGGGCTGCGAAAACTGGATATCCCTGTGCAAAATAATCACTTTGGACCCTTACCTTATACCATAAACTAAAATTAACACAAAATGGATCTAAGACTTAAATGTAAGTACTAAAATTACAAAACTCTGAGAAGAAAACATAGGGCGAAAGCTTCATGACATTAGATTTGGCAATGATTTCTTGGATATGACACTCCAAAAGCATAGGCAACAAAAATATATAGATAAACTGAATTCATCAAAATTAAAAAACCCGGGCTTCCCTGGTGGCACAGTCATTAAAAGCCTGCCTGCCGATGCAGGGGACGCGGGTTCGTGCCCCGGTCTGGGAAGGCCCCACATGCCGCGGAGCGGCTAGGCCCATGAGCCATGGCCGCTGAGCCTGCGCGTCCAGAGCCTGTGCTCCGCAACGGGAGAGGCCACAACAGTGAAAGGCTCACGTAGCGCAAAAAAAAAAAAAAAATTTAAAAAAATTTAAAAAACCCTTTGTGCATCAAAGGACACTATCAACACAGTGAAAAGGCAACCCACATAGTGGGAGAAAATATCTGCAAATCATATATCTGAAATGGAGTATTATCCAGATTATACTAAAAACTCCTACAACTCAACAACAAGAAACCAAAAAAAAGAAACCAACTAAAAAATGGCCATAGGGCTTGAACAGATATTTCTCCGAAGAAGATACACAGATGGCCAATAAGCATATGAAAAGATGCTCAGCATTATCATTAGAGAAATGCAAATCAGAACCACAATGAGTTACCACCTCATACCCACTAGGATGGCTAATAAAAAAAAAAAACAGACTATAACAAGTGTTGACAAGGACGTGGAGAAATTGGAACACTTGTGCATTGCTCATAGGAATGTAAAGTGAAGAAGCCACTGTGGAAAAGGTTTGACAGTTCCTCCCCAAAAATTAAACATAGAATTACCATATGATCTAGCAATTCTACTTCTGGGTACATATCCAAAAGAACTGAAAGCAAAGACTCAAATGTATAAAATGTCCATTGACGAATGGATAAACAAAATATGGTATATACCTACAATGGGATATCATTCAGCTTTAAAAAGGAATGAAATTCTGACACATGCTACACATGGGTGAACCTTGAGGACATATGCTAAGTGAAGTATGCCAAAACAAAAGCAAAAGGACAAATATTGTATGCTTTCACTGATATGAGATAGCTAGGATGGTTAAATTCAGAGACAGAAAGTAGAACGGCATTTGCCAGGAGCTGAGGGCAGGAGGAAATGAGGAGTTATTGTTTAATGGGTACAGTTTCAAGTGGAGATGATGAAAAAGTTCTGGAGATGGATGGTGGTAGTGGTCTTACAACAACACAAATGTATTTAAGGCCACAGACTCATACATTTAAAAATGGTTAAAATGGTAATTTTTATGTTATGTGTATTTTAGCACGATAAAAAAAATTTTGCTAAGCAATATTCAAATTTTCAATTTAACTGGTTCTTCTATTACCCATTGAGTTTGTATACCATTACTTAACTATTTCTAAAGTGTTGGACATGTAGGTTATCAGTATAGATAATGCTAAAATGAATACTATTTTGTCTAAATGCTTTTCTTCTGATGAATATCCTTTGGAAGAATTTCTAAGCAAGAAGTATGTGGGGACTTCCCTGGTGGTGCAGTGGTTGGGAATCCGCCTGCCAATGCAGGGGACACGGGTTCAAGCCCTGGTCCGGGAAGATCCCACATGCTGTGGAGCAGCTAAGCCCGTGTGCCACAACTACTGAGCCTGCGCTCTGGAGCCCACGAGCCACAGCTGCTGAGCCCATGTGCCACAACTACTGAGGCCCACATGCCTAGAGCCTGTGCTCCGCAACAGGAGAGACCAGCGCAATGAGAGGCCTGTGCACCCCAGGGAAAAGTAGCCCCCACTCACCACAACTAGAGGAAGTCCGTGTGCAGCAACGAAGACCCAACACAGCCAAAAATAAATAAAATAAAAATAAACAAACTTTTTAAAAAGTATGTGTATTTTTAAGGCTAATGACATATGTTCATACCGCTTTATAAAAGTGATGCAACTTTACAGTTGTGATAATTTGATAATTTGTTATTACCATAACTTGGTCAGTGGTGTTACCATTAAAAAATTGGTTAGTGGTTGGGGATGCTTTCTTAAGCTAGGTGTGAGTACATAAAATATTCATTATAGCATTCCATATATTTTTGTATATGGTATTGTTAATGATTTTTTACAATAATTTATATTAACGTAATAAAATATAATAAATTAAAATGGTATTGTAATGATTTTTGCATTAATTTTCCTAATTACTAGCAAGGTTGAACATTTCCCCATGTGTTTATAATTTTGTCTCCTTCTGTGTGAACTGCCTATTTATCGCTTATTGTCATAGATCTATTGTGGACTTGGTATTTTTCTTACATATTTTAATAAGTTTTTTTGATTATTTTAGATATTAATCACCTTTGTAAACTTTGATGCATGTATTTTCTCTATTTCCTTTAATTTTAGTTTTGGTTATTTTTCAATTATGTAAGTTTTCCATTTTTATATTCATCTTTTCTTTGGAGATTTCTTCTTAAACTGAATTCTAAGAAATTATCATTATTGCTAAACTATTACTCAAGCTTTTAGTCAGTCATTAGTCACATGCACTGTCACACCTTTGGGGTATAAAAGATATGTGTACTGGGCTTCCCTGGTGGCGCAGCGGTTGGGAGTCCGTCTGCCGATGCAGGGGACATGGGTTCGTGCCCCGGTCCGGGAAGATCCCACGTGCCGCGGAGCAGCTGGGCCCGTGAGCCATGGCCGCTGAGCCTGCGCGTCCGGAGCCTGTGCTCCGCAACGGGAGAGGCCACAACAGTGAGAGGCCCACGTACCGCAAAAAAAAAAAAAAAAAAAAAAAGATATGTGTACTTTTAATTCTGAGAAATTAAAATGTGACCTTAAATTATTGGAATTCATCTTCACAAGTATACTGTCCATGACAGAAACAAGTCATTATACATGATATTTCAACAACATCCCTATAAGACAATATGGGGTAGATATAAATTAGTCATTTTAATAAACAGACAAATTGAGATACCCATAGATTATATGGGTTCACAGTTATACAAGGAGTTTGTAGAAATATTAGGTGTAGAGTCTAAGACTTCTGGATCAAAGCTTTACCATTAAATCATGTTTCTAAAAGAAAATATACTCAAGGTACTAAACTCAAAATTTTTGTAACACAATGAAGTTCA